AACAAACTTATAATCTTGTCAGCGTCCTTAAAGGGACTTGAAGCGTGGATAAGAGGATAAGGGGGCAAACCCGTTATCTCCCAGGTCCCATGACTTATGCCCCATTCCAATACACAACAAGTGAGACTTTAAGGGTAAGACAGACCGCTCTTACCTCCTTATTTTGCTGAAATATTTGCGTTAATAGGTCTTTATATCGTGCCTTTACCATTTAACTCTACAAAAATAGGGTTTTTGTAGGTAGCTAACGCAAAATATCTGAGCAAGTCTACAGCAATACTTTGCGCTTGATAGGAACAGTCCTTTAATTTGCATTGCAAAGTGCTTTTGAATAAAAAATAATATCTTATCTTCAATTCATCGTAGAAAATTTCTCAATTAGTCCAACAAGAAACCGAATCCCTAAATGCAACTCTATCAGAAGCAGAATCGGTTATTTTGCCAAGCCGCCTGTCTACTCATTCTGCCAGGATTAATAGTAACGAGACTAGATATTCAAAATTTCGCCTGTCCAGGAGTAAAGTTTGTCATGAAATGAATTCAAATGCCAGAGAGATTTAAAATTTAAGCTTTTAAAGAAATTTTTATTACACTTATAAAAAATATGCATTACAACCTAACATTATTTTGTTTCTATGAAAGCTTACTTTTCCAAATACACAATGTTTCCATACTTTAAAAACACTTTAGCCTCAGCAAATTTGGTAAGTCCCTGTCACTTTTCAAAATTTTGATAATCATTTTTACGTTTAGCTTCAACCAAATTAAAAACATATTTTTAATGACATATTATATTACGCATGCAATTACTATCATATTAAAAATATTCTGATTGCTATAATTCGCATCCCACCGTTACAAATAGCACTAATCATTTTCCTTTATAATTAGGTTTTCAAGATGACCATTATATTGTGTATACGAAATGTATTCACCCTATTTTAATTAAGGTGATGAAGGAATGGTAACTTACTTTTCCGAAAATGATATTTGCAGGCCTTATGTTTCCATTTAACTACACTCAGCCAAATTCAGACTGGACTTCAATTTCGACCTCGTCTGACCTAGTCTCATCAGTACTCTCAAGTGGGTGGTAGTGAGGGCCATAATCTTGATACGGTAAGTACTGCCTCACACCAGCAGAAGTACCTTTTGCTCATAGCATTGTAGGAAAATTCAACTCTCAGTCCTTTATCTTTTTAGACGAAATAGGGTGAGTACATTTCATATATGTGAGCTACTGGCAAGCTCTAAGACCTACTTCTAAGCGAAAAGTAAATAATGTAGTCGACTACTATAAAACTTTGTTTCGTCAAAATTTCCTCCCCAGAAATATGCTATAGGGAGATGTTAGAACGGCACCCTGGATGGATATATTACTTGGTATACAGGGCTACATGAAATTTAATGAAATCATACTTATATGATTGTGGGGAAATTCAACCATCAATCCTTAATCACGTTAATCGAAATGTGGTGAATACATATGAGCAATACTTAAATTTTTTTAATGCTACTTTTACCCGTTCCGGTTAAGAGCCCTCATCTATCTCAGCCTATTTCACCTACTTTAATGACGTGAATCTTTGTTTGATAAATTATCTGGAGCCTAGAAAACAGGAAATTCTAATTGGAGAATAAATAACAAGTCCCTTGGTCGGAAGCCTCAGAAGTATTTCGTATGTGGTTACATTTTAGAAGATGACAAGTAATGCTTAAATGACAGATTTACTTCTTATATTCTGGTAGGACAGACTTTTATGCAGGAGTGTTGCTTATTCTAAGGTTTGGAAGCTTAAGTTGTCTTTTTTGATCCATATGGATGCAAATATATGAGAAAAAGTTGATATATTCTGCGTAACGACGCCTCAGAACGAGGAAAACCAGAGGATAACCCGGTGCTTTTAGTCAATTGAAGAAGACTTCAAACAGGAAACAGTCCTTTAAAATACACTTATACGACCATGTCATCTCCGATGCGATCCCTTATCCAAAGAGTTTTGGTTGATGTTGCTCGACTTGCGTGAGGTAACATTTAAAGTGAGATTTCGTAAAAATTCTTCATTATAAGTTGATGAACTATTGTGTTAGCTTTGCTGCTTGCATAGTTAATCCTCATTCTCCTCGAGATTATTCGTTTTATACTTGATAAGTCAGAATGGTTCTTTACTGACTAAAATCATTGTCTAAAACTGTGCCTACAAGTGTCTCTTATTCTTATATTGCCTATCATGCCAAAGCTGAAACCTTCTTACCTAATTCTGAGATAGGTTTCCCAGAAACTTATGCAATTAAAGAGACAGACTAGAGAGAGGAGTAGTTGGCCACTTTAACCAATGTTGCTTCTGTCACAAACCATTTTAATTCAAACTTCAAATTACATTTGAATGTTGTATGTATATTGGGAAAACATGTGCACTTCAAACAAAATTTTAAATTAATATTTTCATTTTTTATAAATTTTCTTTTTTTTTGTATTCTTCAAGTCTATGGAGCAAGTGAACGACTCTATTTCAAAGGTAAAATATACTTTCTATGGATGCTACTATACGATGTAACACCAAATAAATATAATTGTTGTATTATTTTTCATTATTGATAAGTAAGGATTGGAGAATTCGCCATAAAACAGTTATAAGCTGAAAAATGTCCAAGATCTCCTCATCTGGCATTAAGGAATATAGATTTCATAAAAATCAGACAAGCAGAAAATTACTAATTTTCTGTCTAATATAAAAAATGTGGTAGGGAGCTAGCGTGGAATACACATTCCCTCTTTCTCTTTTAACTGTATACAACTTTTCAAGAAGCCGCATCCTTAAGCTAGAATATAGCTTGATAGAGGAGCTAAATGAAAACCATATTAACTTGTTTTCCCCCCAAGTTGAGACAGCTTCTATCATCCCTAATAACTCTTTATCATTTGGTCAAGTTTTGAGGCTCCCAGTAAATCTTAAATGGGATCTCGAGTCACCAATGTTAGAGCCTCATTTTCGAGCTGGTGAGACTAAGATTAGCCGGATGGCGTTGCTAATTGGAATTCGAATGCATCATTACGCCATTCTCTCATTTATTCTTCTGCAATGGATAATCATTTTAGGTGACCAAGGGTGATCCGAGTCCTATTCAATCCGCATTTGGCAGCATACGACTCGTTGAGGCCCGTGATTTCTATGCAATTTGTCGAAATAATGTATACCTAAAGAAACAAATTGGCAATGCCAATGATCAAATTGACCTCGATCACTGCCAGACGTGATAACTCTTCACCCTTGGGGTTCACGGGCGGTTTTCTAAGGGACTTGAATCGAGACGCAAAGGTATCGGTATCGCCGAAAGCTGATGGTTATATGCAATTTATTTTTCAGATGCTGCAGAAACTTGCTTCATCCATAAAATTCATCGTTCCAGTTAGCCCTGATACTGCATACTACTCAGATGGAGTCATCTCGGCGCTGGCGAAGAGTTTTACCCACCTCCTTCCGAAAGAAGTAATTGACACTCTTCGTCAGGCTCTCACGAACGAAGTTGACTACCTTAACTGGGACATCATGACGCTGACGCCACCCGAAAGGCACAATTTCTTAGCTTCCGGCCTCATGATCTCGGCTCAGTTAGCTTCAGTAAGAGGGGAAGCCGGTTTATACTGGTGTATTTTTCAGGGATCGCGAGAATCTTATTCGGATCAGGTTCCTAGATCAAATAAAGAACATATGACTATTCAAAAAAATTAATTTATATATATATATGACTAAATGGTAGTACCAAAAACCCACTTATAAACCCAAAATAATAATCGAATCGATAATTCTAATAAATACAACTTTGCATCATCGACATTCCCACAAAAGAGCATAATATTGGTAAAGGTGTGGTCTTCTTTGAAATTCACATCCGCCCTGGGACTCGAGGATACTACTTTTGTTAGTCTGCATTATGGTCAACGCGTCGAGATTATACTCGGTACTTCCACAACCCGGGTTTGAGTCTTGATTAGGGTGTAGTCTAGCCTGGAGAAGAATGCCGTTTTGGAAACAAGGCTGTGTGAAATTCAATGGGAACAAAAAGCTTACTCACTTCTTTGTGGGGAAAATTCAACTACAACTTCTTCTTTACCTTAAACGAAATAGGATGATTACATCTGATA